AATCTCGATCGCGACCTTTATTTATACAGTAATAAAAAAAAAATGGTGTAATGCCTCTTATATAATATATTCCTCAAAAAAATATAAATACGTTCATATATAAACAAATATTTGCATATATAATCAAAAATAAGATGATGAAAAAATACAATTTAGAATAAGATGCTTTTTTTTGTTTAATTAGCTCATGTTTTTTGTTAACCATTCATTCCGAAGAAGAATATTCTAGTGCCAAATATTAGGATTTGATATGTGTTGAAATGTTAACCATTAAAAACTTTCACAATTGCATAATTATCAGTATAATTCGAATTGGTATAATGATTATAATAACTTCTGTAATTATTGTAATCATCTTGTGAAAACTTAACAAGAGCATAATTATCAGAATAATTCGAGTTAGCAACACTATCACTACTATCAACGTAATCGTCATAATTTTGTGAATACTTCACAACATCATAATTGTTGGTATAATCCTCAATTTTTGATTTAAATGCGTTAAATACTCGAGTAAAAATTTTAGATACTGATTTGTGTGCATTTCTATGACCATTATTCTGAGATTGATATTGTCTAAATGCACGGGCATGACTACGTACCGCTACATATTTCATTTTTTTTAAGGATACCCCATTGATTTTCAAATTATACAAGTCATTTTCATATTTCTTTATATCTTCTGGAGTAATTACATATTCGGAAGGATCATTAGCTGCGATTGCTTCTTTTATAATTTTGATCTTTTCCAGATATTCTCTTTTTGTCTTTTCAAGCCCTTCAATAAGTGCATCATTATAATTAAGAGGATCTGCAGCTTTCTTGATTTTTTCTTCACGTATGAAATGATCTAGGTATTCAGCATATGAATCATTAAATGTGGCTATCGCACTTTGTCTTAAAAATTTCGCAAAGCAAATATTAATTTCAGCTATCTTCCTTTGTTCACTTTCTAGTTGACTGCGTAATTTTTCACAACTTTCTAGGGCACTTTTCTTTGCCTCTTGAAACGATTTTTTATCGCCAATCTGTTTTTCCACACTCTTATCAACAACATACTGAATTTCGTAATCATAATCATAAGTTATATGCATATGTACTACATATTTGCAACCACATTGATGACAAGTTCCATCATTTCGAATAGCCCAACAATTCAATAAGGCTGCATTATTAGTCACATCAGTCTCAACTCCTGTCAAATAACAATGATCGTGACAATGAGATTTGTAGTTTACTTTCCCATCTACTACTTCACGTTTGCACTCTGTGCATACAGTTCTGGGAAATCCTAGTTCTATTGGTTTA